GAATTGGGTGGTATGTATGTAAATGACCCAAAAAAAAGCCTCAGAGATTGCAATTAAGTTCTTCAAACACATAAATTTCTGTACCTGAACAACCTGACAATTCTCCAATGTGCTCTTCCCACCCTGACAAATGCAAAATTACAAGGCAGATTAGAATTGAAATGTGAACTTCAACCAGGCATAAACAAATAGAGGAGGCGATCTTGATACTCCTAAATTGTCTACTTGTCTGTGTTGAAAATTTTTTTGGATGATTTTGTTTTAATTCTCAAATAACTTTACACCTACTTTTAGATGTTATTGAGTTTGTAAATAAGCAAATAGGTCATTAATCTAATAAATGAAAGACAAAATGTAAATAAACAAATTTGTAGTTGACAGCACTAAGAAGAGGGAGACAAAAATATCACTATTTTAACTTTTAATAGTGAAATACACCTTTTCATGCAGGTAATGTGGGATATATATGTAAACATTTTAGTTTAGGCGTTAGATATGTAAATATATATAAATTGAGTGGTTTGTACATAAATCCTCCAATTGTTAAAAAGGTGTAAATCGTCCTTCAAGACTCCATCCTTTAATCAAGTAAGAGACTTAAGTAGCATGTTTGCCTTAGAGCCTTAAGATAACCAAATAAAAATATAGCAAAATTTATATACCTAGCACACAATTCATATGTATTTACATATCTCATACCTAAGCTTTTACATTTACATAAATTGCACTTTGCTGTTTTAAACTTATGCATAAAAATGTGTATTTCACTTTTTTAAAATATTAATAGAGTTGTTTTTGATGCGATATTAAAGATTTGAATGCTTTCATATTTACATACATTGCGCTTTGCTGCTTTAAACTTATACATGAAAATGTATATTTTATTTTTTAAAAATGATAATAGAGTTGTTTTTGATGTGATATTATAGATTTGAGTGCTTTCACATTTACATGCATTGCACTTTGCTGCTTTAAACTTATGCATAAAAATGTGTATTTCATTTTCTAAATGGTAATAGAATTGTTCTTGATGTGATATTAATTAAAGATTTGAGTGTTATGTGCGTAAATATGGAAGTTTAGAGATATGTAAATACTTAAAAGTTGTCTTATGTATGTAAATGCCCAAATAAAAAAATAAAAAAGAAGAATCAATAAATCAAACAGTATAACTCTCAATCAAACTTAAAAAAATCATGAATTTGCAAATAATCTTCATACCGGGATGAAAGTGAAAGGAACTAAAAAAGTGATGCTAACCTAGATATCTTTACATGAGGATGTCAACTTGTAATGAGAAGTTACAGGTCCCCGACTAAAATACAAACGGAAATCAGAGAAGTCGGGCAAAGAACTTGGAGTTATCCACCTTTAGAAAATGAAAGTGGCGCACAAGGCAAGGGATAATCCATAAGGGCATGAGTAGCCATAAGAGGGGGTAGCACCGGAGTAGTCATTTGAAAAGACAAAACAGATACCGATGAACTTCGAGCTAGAGAAAGTGAGAAGCCACGACATCGAATAATGAGACCAACTAGTCTGAAGCAGCAATGGCACCCACCATCTGCCTCAAGACTAAAGACAACATTGCCTATATCTAGGGTGCAATGCCCTTTAGTAAAGGCATCGGTGTCAGGTGCACCAACAAAAAGACCAGAATGTTATTGAGTAATTTGTAGGAAGGGCACTGGGGCTAGCGTGAGGTAGGAAGTTGAAAGATATCCAAAAATGTATAATCATAAACTATTTTAAAAGTGGATGGATAAGTTATAAAATTTTGTTTAGAGGATCTAACCAGACAGTTTCATAGAATTTTGTTAAAACAATTTAATTTGGTTCATATGTATTATTAACTTAAGTGAATTTAATACTATTTTCAATTTATGTACTATAGAGAGCAACTGCATGATCAATTTAAGAATTTTAACCAAAGTGACTAAAGTGCTTTTGAATATTGTTAAGTTTTAAAATTTCATAAATAAAAATTAAATGAATTTCTAATATAAGATAAAAACCTTTTAGCTCCATTTTCAAATTTCATGAAAAATAACTTAAGATAATTTTAAGATTAAAAATTTCCCTTCTCACAAAAGTTCATTTTTTATAGCATTGTTGATTGTATAAAAATTCAATTGAGAGGTTTGATGGAGAAGTACAAAGAGGAGGAACTAGATATGATTTTATTGATTTAGAAAAATCTTACGATAATGTTCCAAGAGATATCTATTGGAGAGTTTTAGAGAAGAAAGGTGTTGATATTACTTACATTCAAGTCATTAAAGATATGTATACTAGAGTTGTTACTTGTGTTCAAACAGACGGAGGATTGACCAAATATTTTCTATTTCAGTTGGATTACATTAGGGATCGGCTTTAATCCCATATCTTCTTGCTGCTTTAGTTATGGATGTTATTACTGGACATTTACAGGAGAATGTACCTGTAGTTATGGATGCTATTACTGGACATTTACAGGAGAATGTACCTAGTGTATGTTTTTCACTGATCACATCCTTCTTGTGGATAAGACTAGAAAAAAAGCTCACGAAAAACTTGAATTATGGAGGTCTGCATTTCATTTGAGTAGAACAAAAACTGAGTATATGGTATGTAATTTGAGTAGTAATAGCTCTGGTGACAAAGTTGTAACAATGGTAAGTATGGGTGATAAGATTATTAAAAGGTGTGAAGCTTTAGATATCTCGGGTCTATTGTTCAAAGTGATGGCTATATATATGTGGATGCCTTTAGATATCTCGGGTCTATTGTTGAAAGTGATGGCGATATATATGTGGATGCTATTAGTAGAATTCAAGTCGTTTGGTTGAGGTGGAGGAATGTTTCAGACCTATTGTGTGATAGAAATTACCAAAGGAAAATTTTATAAGATGGTGGTGAGACTTGCAATGCTCTATGGCACTAAATGTTGGCCTTTAAAAGAGAAGTATAAAGCTAAGTTAAGTGTTGCCGAGATGAGAATACTTAGGTGGATGAGTGGCTTTACACTTAGAGACAAAATGTGAAATGATTATATCCATGATAGGGTTGGTGTTTGCTTCAGTGGCAGACAAAATTAGAGAGAGACGTATTAGATGGTTTGGTCACATGAAACGTCGATCATCTGATAATCTAGTTATGAGAGTAGATATTTTAGATTCGACTTATGTTAAGAAAGTCAGAGGCAGACCTAGAGAGACTTGGGCATAATGTATAAAAAATGATCTTAATTTATTAGCTGGCCCCACTTAGTGGGATAAAGACTTGTTGTTGTTGTTGTTGATTCTATCAAAATTCGCAACAGATTCTAGAAGTGTATTAAACACCCGTGCCCCTAAGACATCCTTTATTATAAAGGGAGTCACAAGAATAAAAAAATGATAGCATATTAAACTAAATGAATCTATGAAACTCTATTGTATCAAACAATAGAATAATTCACATACAATTAGAGTGCATCACATAATCTTGAGGACAAGACTAGTCGAATTTTCTAAGCAACAAGGACAAGCTTTCATTCATCAACTAAATTAAAAAGCATAAAGACGGCTGAAAAAATGAACCATTTAAAAAAAGAAAAGTTGATGACAATGAATAACAAGTTAACAATTTGGAAAATTTACATACGTAGCACAAAATTCTTATGCATTTACATATCTCATAATTCACATACAATTAGAGTGCATCACATAATCTTGAGGACAAGACTAGTCGAATTTTATAAGCAACAAGGACTTTCATTCATCAGCTAAATTAAAGAGCATAAAGACCGGTAAAAAAATGAACCATTTAAAAAAAGAAAAATTGATGACAATGACTAACAAGTTAACAATTTGGAAAATTTCCATACGTAGCACGAAATTCTTATGCATTTACATATCTCACACCTAAACTTTCATATTTACATAAATAACACTTTGGTGCTTAAAATCTATGCACAAAAAGTTGTATTTCACTTTTAAAAAGTGGCAATCATGCTATTTTTTATGTAATATTAAAGATTTGAGTGCTGTGTGTAAATATGAAAATTTAGTGTGAGATAAGTCAATACATAAGAATTGGGTGCTACGTATGTAAATGCCCTTCACAATTTTTGTAACGTAGCAACTGAACTAAGGTGACAAAATGTAGCTTCTATTAACTACTGCATTGATTATTATAGCCGAATTTATGGAATGAACTTACTCATAAAGCACCTAATCTTTAATTAATTAAACTTTATTTGCCTCAAATAACAATACTTTTATCTCGAGAAAATTCACCCTTCAAGCATGCACAACCTTGTTCTTCAATTCTATACCTAGAATCGCCCCTTAAGAAAAAAGAAATTCAAAATCTTAACGTTGAATTGATACAATAAATCATCATAAATTGCAAAAATAACTGAGAACCAACTCCTTAAATTAATAAGGATTACTAGAGTATATCCTAAGGGCGGATTCACTCAAAGGAAGAACAAGGGTTTGAGCTCACCATGTCGGGCTCCAACCGAATTTGAGAGCAAAGGGAGCTCATCAGCTGAGCGTGAGGTAAACTTGCCAAGCTATGCTTGAGATACATGCTAGCAAAGGACAAGGCAGACTTACAAACAAACCAAAAGAGAAGAAATTATCATGCCCAAGCAAAACTTGCTCGAAGCCATCAACAGAGTCAACGAATCATTTCAAGCCCAGACATCAATTGAACATACCAAAAAACGCTACTTGGACAATACCAGGGGGACCTAATAGCCCTTTGCATCTAACGGTTGACTATATGTTTAAATTTGAGACTGCATACATGTTACATGCTTCCTATATTTTCTCTCTCTAGTATTGTCAAATTTACTAGTAGAATCTCATAATAATATTTCCTTGATTTATACTGCCTACTTTTTTCAATACAGCTTAATGTGAATTATTCACTCATAAATTATTCAAAAAAAAACCAAACTAACATAAAGAAAGCGAGTGAAGTATCGGCTTTAGTTTCGAGTTAGAGCTTATTATCAAATTTCTTAACACTTTTTATATCTCCCTAAAAAAATAGGTAGATCTACAAATAACACTTAATTCTTATGTATGCACATTTATATATCTAACACAAATTTTAATTTTTACATACATGCCATCTTGCCTATGCTTGAAAAGATGTATTTTACTATTTAAAAGTTAAAATGGTGGTATTTTTTATTTGATTTGAAAGATTTGGGTAGTAAGATTAGTTGTTAGTTATGTAAATATATAGGAATTGGGTGGTATGTATATAGATACCCCAAAATGGATGGTGGATTTTCCCTCTCTATCTCATCTCTTTCCACTCTTTCACATTTACTTCTCGCGTTCTATTACTATTATTATTTCTTTTTTCCGGCATTCAACTGTTTTTCCGACGTAAATCCAAATTTACTAAATCCAATTGCGAGGAAGCTTTAATCTGTCTTTACTCGCCAACTCCTCCGTCACATTCTGGATTTGATAAATCTAGAGAATGATTTAATTTAGCAAATCCAATTGTGAGGAAGATTTATTCTGCCCTCGCTCGTCAGCTCCTTCGTCACAAGCTGGATTTGATAAATCTAGTTAAAGATTTAATTTGATAAATCCTATTTAGGCGGTGTTTGACAACATCATTTAAAGAAGATTTAGCCATGGATTTAGTGTAAATCCAACCAAACATCAAAAAAGCAAAAATCAAATCAAACTCTCTGTTAAATTAAAATTTTTCGCGTTTCGTCTCTTTTAGGATGTAAATTCAGATATAGTAAATCCAATTATGAAGCATATTTGAGAATTGTTCTAATCGTCGGTCACGAAATCATCTTTATCGCACTGATAATCGAATTTATTGGATTTGATAAATCCTATTTAATGTAAATTCAGGATCCGTTTAGGCCAGCTTTCAACCTACTTTGCTTTTCAGATTGTTACTACAGTTCTTTTTAGGAACTGCATTCTCTCTATTTTTAAGAAATTTTAGAAAGCTGTTTTTTTTTTCCAGTTCTTTTTAGGAACTGCATTCTCTCTATTTTTAGTTTTTTTTTTTTTTTTTTTTTCCAATATGAGTTGTTAAAGTGTGGTAGCTGTCCGAAAGCTACAGTCTAACTTTTTCAAAATAAACTTAACTTTTTGAAAAATAGTTTCTTCTGTAACAACTTTACGACCGCTTCTTCAAACAACTACAGCTACCCCGAAACAGACCATGGCTGCAACTATAAGTTACAGCCAAACTCGGCCTTGGTATAAGCCATGAACATAATAAGATCCAGGAACTAGTTACCAACTCTCTAAACAGAAACTAAGACAAAAAAATCTCATCGATCCTAGATATAATCAATCTACAAGAACAAAACAGAGACAGAGTGTGGATAAAGAAAGACCTTGGAATAAGGAACGATGTGGTCGTAATCGTGGCAGAGACAACCGGGGCAGCCTACGAGCTTCCGAAACATGATGTTCCCGAAAGGATCCCTCCGCCATCTCTCAGGATCCCGCCCCTTCACCTTCTCAGCCTTCTCCCAGCACTGCTGCTTCACGCTGTAAGGAAAGCTGCGAGGGTTCGTAACTCCTCCTAACCCTACGATTCTTCCAGTCTTATTGCTCAGATCTTCGACGGGCTCATCACTAAGCCATCGCTGCTCATCTTCCGCTACGTATCCGGCATGGTGGTTGAGAAGAGAGGCAACTGGTCGTATGGACGTGCCAGGGTGGACGGAGGATCGGTTAAGCTCGACGCCCGGAGAGTCAATGGAAGGCCGATCTAGCTCCGGCGACGCGGCGACGTTCCTCTTTCTAGTAGTCGTCTTCCTCGACCGCATTTGCAGTGTGCGGTTTATGAATTTTATGGAGTTCTCTCACTTGAGTGGGTTTAAAAAACATTTATTTTAGAAAAAAAATGGCGCATTTACATACATGCAACCCTATTCTTATGTATTTATATATTGATACCTAAACTTTACATTTATACCACACAACTCTTCATATCTCATCAATAGGAACATTCTAACTTTTTAAAAGTGAAATGCAAATTTTCATGCACCGACAAGGTGAAATGTATGTAACAATTGAAGTTCATAAGTTAGAAAGTGCATTCTCGACAAGTGTAAAGAGCCACCATTCAGTGTGGTGAATCATCCAGTCGACGGAACCAAGAAGGTCGATCACATTAAAAGATGAACGACTTGTCAGCCTAAGGGCGAACAAAATGACGATCCTTATAGGAAAGGATCAACATTTCTCTTTCATTTTCAAAGTATACTTGCCCACAATTAAGGGTGTAAAAGAACTAAACACGAGCGAGCTCATTTATATTTCGAGCTCAAAAAGTGTGTTCGTGTTCGACTCGTTTGCTTAGCGAGACGAACACGAGTCGTTCACGAACAAAGAGTTGTTTTGACAACCCTAATCACGTAGCAATAAGATGTTAAGAAATGGGACAAGATTTAAATCATCATTTGAATCTAAATTAATAAATTTTATTTTATTTTCTTCATTAATATTTTTAATTGATTATAAATCTTTATAGTCTTGCAGTCAATTAAAATTTTTAAAAATACTACTCATCAAAGATATATATATATATATATATATATATAATGAATTAGTAGTATTTTGAGCCAAAATGAGCGGAACACGAACCAACAAATATATGTTCGTGTTCGGCTCGTTAACTTAGCGAATGAGCCGAACACAAACTTCTTAACAAGCAGAGCACGAACTGTTCGCGAACAATAAGCTATTTCGACAACCCTACCCACAATTGAGATTTAAGAATAGTTTAAGATTCAACAATAACATATCATGTGTTGGCATACCTATCTAACTTTTTGAAATTATATTTATAATATTAAAGTAGCAATCTTCTTAATTATATGAAAATTATTATTTTTCACTAACAATATAAAACTAGTGCGCTCATTTTAAATATAAAAATTTTTAAACAAAGCGAAACAGAAGCAAATAATAAGCTCGTACAAACTCAACTTGTCTGCACTCAAGAGTGAAAACAAGGAGTGCAAGTGAACCAAGCCGACTCAGGCTCGACTCATAAACTGAGTGAAAAAGCTAACAAACCAAGCTCAAACCAGCTTGAATCAAGACTTATTAGCTCTTGAGCCAGCTTATTTAAAAAATAAAACACTAATAATAAAAATTAGAACACTTAAAAAGTGTCAATGAAGCCTATTTTTGTTTCAAAATTTTAAAATAAAAAAAGAAAAATAATAACCACCAAATTATTTATTTATTACCCTGTAGTCATTAGAAAAATTATTCCATACGGACACTGCATGCAGACCAATCTCCACCGTCAATCACCGCAATAAAAAAAAAAAAATTTTTTTTAAAGTTAAAAGTGAAGTCCACTGAAATACATATTTGTAGTGATCGACGATGGAGATCGAAGACCGCATACAACTCTACATGTTGTGTCATTATAAAATAATTTTTCGTGCCCATTAAAATCCATAGGCCAACATTAAAACAAGCTCATTATTTATTAATAGCTCGTTCATTAAATAAATTATATTTAAATTATTTGCCGAACATAAATAATTATTTTAAGCTCAATTTATTAAAATATAAACCTTATAATAAATAATAGTAATTATAACTTATTTTTTTTTTTATTTTTTTGGAATGATTACATATAAATCACCCGATATTTACAAATTAACCCCAAGTAACAAATGTATTTCCGAGTGCTACAATCAAACTATTAAGAATTTCATAAAAATTAAAAACACAAGCAATATGTTGGTTGATTTATAAACAAGGGTCTGTATGTAAATGCTGCTGTTTTTTTTTTGTCAGTTTTTATCAATTTTTTAAATCATTCGAGTTAAATTTAAGCCCGACAAAAATTGAAATGAGCAATTGAACTATTTCAAACAAGTGAGCAATTACATTTGAAACATTGCTATTTACAAATCTAACACCTTTTCATTCATTTTCCAAAATTCATAATAGAAACGTAAACTCATATTTTTCATTTATGTCAAAATCTCAATGATTTGATAGTGACGCGCAATTAATTGGTTGGGCGGTACGATAAATCACCCGTGCTAGTTTTACAAATAGTAATACTTCGAGTGCTAGGTATGTCTGTTTGAGGGTGTAATTGAAGCTTATTGAATAATCTGCTGATAAACTGATTAAAAATAATATGCTGATAAGCTAAGTGCGATAGCTACTAAAAAAATTTTATTTTTTTTGAAAAAAACTAGACCGCAGTCAGAAAGCTGTGAGACAAGTGCGGTGTGAAAATGTTGTTTCCACTATTTTGAAAACGCATAAACTATCAAAACGCAGTTTACCCAAATAAGCAGACCAGGTGCATTTTCAAAACGTCACCGCATCAAATAAACTGCCCCAAACGGACCCTAAGTTTACAAGAAGTTAAAATGCTGAAAGAAACAAGCGTACAAAATTTGTAAAATTTTCTTTTGCAAGTTGATTAAAATATTTACACAACGAATCAGTGAAAAATCAGGTTTACCATGTCGATTGACTAGGAGTAAGATGAAGATAGGACCTGCAAGAACAAGCTTTGTCAGATAGATTTGACAATATTTCTAATCTCTAAATTTTATTTTATTTTACATTTATACCACCCAAATCATTCCTATCGCATAAAAAATACAACTAATTTAAGTTTTAAAAAGTGGTAAGATGACAAATATGTAAAAAATGAAAATTAAAGTGTTAGATATGTAAATACATAAAAACTGAGTGGTACGTATGTAAATATTCCTTAACTACTTGTTTTAAATCTCTCTCTCTCTCCCTCAATTATTCCTTAACTACTTGTTTTAAATCTCTCTCTCTCCCTCAATTATTGCATGAGGACATTGATGCAAATTTGCATCAGATGTTCAATAACAGGGGACCATGTGTCAATTTAGGCCCAATGACATACAATGTTCGGACCCGGGTTGCCACATGACATTCTGTTATTGGACACCTGATGCAAATTTGTATCAGGTGTCCTAATGCAATAATTTTTCCTCATGGTAAAACTCATTCTTAATAAGTAATGGTTTCATTTCCCTTGCTACCTCAGTAAAATATTGAGGCATTTACAAACATACCCTCCATTTATTCTATATTTACATATGTAACACAAAAGCGTTGCACTTTACATCTATATCATCCAACTCCTTCATATCCCATTAATAATAGCATTATTTTAACATTTAAAAAAAGCAGAATACACCTTTTCATGGTGAAAATTGAGGTTTAGGTGTTAGTTATGTAAATGCATAGAAATTGAGGGGTATGCATGTAAATCTTCCAAAAATATTATAGATTTCAAAAGCTAATAAAAGCAAATTCATGATCTATAAACGAAGTACCTGATACATCTTGGGTCCTTTCTTAAGGAGATAGCCAGCACTGTTCAAGTTATCAACCAGAGTGTCTAGGTCTGGAACTCTCAAACCAATCATATCTGACAAACTGTATATTTCCTAAAAAAAATTTCAGAAATTATTGGATTCAGAGCTTGTTTGAGGTCAATTTTGTTTTTTGTTCTTGTTTTTGTTCTTAAAAATAAATTTATTTAGTGTGATTTTTTACATATTTTTTAAATTTTTGTTTCTATTATTTTGAGTATTTTAAAAACAGCTATACTTTAATCTTTAATATCATGATAAAGTTCATGTTTTACAAACAAGCCCTAAGAGTGAAATAAAAGGGATAATTACGTTCGGACCACCCGAAATATTGATATTTATAATTTAACCATCCACGTTATTTTTTTAAACTACCGAACAGATGTACTTATGCAAAATATGGGTTGGGATTTTACCATGAATTTTAATATTTGAGTTAGAATTTGAAAATGAAAGAAAGAGGGTGGTTTGATTTATAAATAGTAAGTTTTGGGTGGTCTGCATGTAATTGCCCCATAAAATTCATGCTCTGCTTTGTTCTCAAAATTTTTTGTCTGGTTTCCGGACGTAGCTCTACGTGCGGACTCCCGGTAATATACCGTCATGTGTGTTATATCAGACCCACCTAAAAAATATTAAAATAGAACTGCGGACTCCACAATAACCCTAAAATAACCCCAGAATAACCTCCGTTATGTTATTTCCGGGTTATTGATGTGCAATATATGAGTTTCTTTTCAACAACCCCGAAATAACACCACGGAAGTTATTTCGGGGTTATTGAAGTAAAATATATGAATTTCTCTTCAATAATCCCAAAAATAAATAAATAAATAACAACTCCGAAATAACCTCCGCGATGTAGCACACGTGGTGACATATTATTGGAGTCCGCAAGTAAAACTACGTTCGGAGTCCAGACAGAAATTTTTCCCTGCTTTGTTATGTTTTGCAGTTGCTAAGGTACAAATACTTACAGAAATAGAGAAACAATCCTTCTGTTGAAGTTCAGATTGTTTGTTGAGAGCGCTCAAGAATCTTTTAGCTTCTTTCTGCTGGCTCATCCCACCGCTCCTTGCAAAATCCACAAAGCCGTGCTCATCGACGAATTTGTCGTACAAAGACTCCTTCATTATCTCAACCACATCCTGTGGACGGAAACCATAGCACTATTACATATATAGCACATAATTCTTATGTATTTACATAATCTCACATCTAAACTTTCATATTTACACACATATCAATCAAATCTTTAATATTAAAAAAAATAAAAACACTATTATCACTTTTTATAAGTCAAATAAACCTTTCCATGCATGATTTTAAAGCACCAAAGTGCTATATGTGTAACTACGCAAGTTCAGGTGTGACATATGAGAATACATAAGTTGAAAAAACATTAGCATTGTGTGCTACTTACGTAAATTTTCCTTAAAATAATCATAACATGAAGTTTAAGAACAAATTCCAACATTTTTATGCGTTTCATGAGGTAAATAAGAATA